AAGGCAACAGAACACAAGTGCAACACAAACTGTTTTCTCCCATGTTCCACTGGCCACCATAGTTCTGGGAACTCTAGGACCATCCCAGTTTCAAACATCCTGTTCTCTGTGACCAGTATGTCCTAAGAAGCTTGTGCCTTGATGGTCTATATATGTATACCTCCACACTGCCCTTGGAAAGAGATGGGTGCCAGGGGAGCACCACAGCTCCCCCTGGTGCTCTGGAGGAATGGCCTATCTTAAACACTGATGACCAACCAAGTTAAAAATCAGCAGATCACCTAATTCTTCCATAAAAATAACAAAGGAAATTTTAAGAGATCTAGTGGGAAGACTTAGAGATAATGGAGAAGTCAGAGTTTATCTGAGGGATGAAAATCCTTAGGTTTCATTCTCCACATTTCCAATGACACCAGTTCCATTTTTCATTGGTGACAGACGGGAAGGTGCTCTGAGCCCATAAAATAAGAGAGGCAAGAAGGCCAAAAAGGAAGGCAGAGGAGGCACTGGAAATACAGATGTGGCTGCATTTCATCCTCCACCTGGGTTCTAATCAAGGAATACGGGTCATACCCATTGATCCAGGGGATGCACTGAAATTTGGATTATTTCAGTGTGTGTTTTTCCCTCTTTTTTTTCCCCCTTGATCTCCATTTTTAATCTCTTTTTCTTATTTACTAGTTTAACCCATGGAAAATGAAAGGGACAAAGGAAAATTAAGTCTCTTCCAATTGTATCGATCAATAGCTTGAGCCTTTTCTTTGTCAAATTTTCTTCAAAGCGTTTGGTGACATAACTTGAAATTCAAAGAGTCCACATAATCATGGAAATTTGAACATGGAACACCTAGTAACCCACTTAATACACTGATGCATGAAAGATTAGGGTGTGATGATGTGATGGTAAACATAGAACCTTGAAAACTCAATTAACTATCCCAAATTGGAATTCTTTTTGGAGAATCTGTTCCACATGTTTTGTGTGTATGCACTTTCAAACTTCCGGGAAGACAAGAAATCCAGAATGAATGTCCTCCATCCCTTTTTTATTCACGTAGAACATCATCCTAACCTATCCTAAAAACATACAGGCCTCCACTGTGCTAAAAGTCTTCTAAGCAATAAGATTTTCCAACTTGTCTTAGTGTTCCAGCCCAGGTCACTGCCAGAGCTCACTTTTAATGCTCTCTCACACTGCTGAGGGCACTACAGGTCAGTAAAACCTCTCTAAAAACCAACTTGGAAAAAACACAACCCCTTTGGCCCTATAATTCTAGTTCTATAGTTGTATCCTAAGAAAATACAGAAAATACTAACAGTATTCTGAATACAAACATAAATCTATGTATGTACTTTTAATAAAAGTAAGTAATTGTAAATGCACTAAATATAAGATGTTGGTTAATAGATTACATAAATCCAAATAATAAAATTCTGCACACCATAAAATACGTGCACACCATATTAGAAGGATGCATTTTCTGTCTTAGTTTTGGCTGAGGCTCTAAAATGCAGAGAACAAAATAACAGGGAGCAATTGTCCCCACATATCAAAGGTGCTGGGCAGCCCATAAAGGGGACAGTTAGCATTCCCAGGGGAAACCTTCAACTAGTAGGAGGTGGGGATCAGTGGATAAAGGTCCTAGCCTCCCAGCACCTGGAGCAATAACTCAGAGGTGCTTTCCGCAAAGCTCCTCAGAGGGTCTCCAGCAGGATTGAACTCCAGCTGTCTACGACAATAGTCAGCTCAGTAACATACTCTTTACTCTCTGCCTTCCCCGTCCCACGTGTCCTGCCCCCTCCCTCTTGCTTCCTGCAATCTACTTTCCACAATAAAACCTGGACTCAAGTCCTTATCTCAGGCTCTATTGGAAAGTGAGATAAAATTAAGTCACCCCTCCCCAAAACATAATACCTCCTTGAGTTCAGGTTTTTATATTAAAAATTCAGGAAGGGAGCTATGTACAAAGAGCTTCTGTTTCATCCCCAACCCAAAGCAAGAAAACTCAAAATGAAAATGTGGCCGCCTGCTTCAAAGCAGGGGAAGTGCACTGAGAACATACACAAACTAATAATTCAGTGAGTTAGCCTGTCCCAACATTGTCACCATCACCACCATGATGATTGTCAATCACCAACACAAGTAGGAGTTTGTGTAGACACCATCAAATTGAAGAGTGCATGGCTATGCCCCCTCTGAAAGGTGTTTCTGAGCTCTAGCCAGCTGGGATCCAGTGTTGACAGACACTGAAAAATTTTAAGAGCAACCAAGAAGTCAAGTATCTAGATTTTACATGAAAGCGCCTGACTTTTCTATGATAGCAACTAGCTCAAATGTTTTTTGTTCACCCCATGTTGGCCTGCATAGTATGGTAAAGAAAACATAGCTGTGGGCTATGTGTTCCTCCTAGGCCAACAGCTGGACATAAGTAGTGAGAGTAAAAACATCTTCTGTAATTGGAGAATGTATTGAAAGCCCATACTAACAGGCAACTATAAAATTTTGAAAGGCAGAAAGACTAGAGAAAGGTTTTAGGGCATGAGTTGTAAATAGGCAAGAGGAACTGCACTCAAATTTATAAGCTTATGATCTTAAAAGTAATTTGGGGTCAGTTTCAGCACTTAATATCATGAGATGTAGAAGATAATGGTGGCTATAATGTTATGACCAGCACTGCGTCATACAAGGCCCTGTTAGCTGCCTTCTTCCTGCCACTGGCTTAACGGCCTGAGTAGCATCTGGTTTAGAACTAACTAGTAGCTTCTGTGCCCCAGCCCCACTTCCTTACTCCTATCCCCCACCCCAAAAGACCCCTTTATAAGAAGTCTAACACTACCAACCCCATCAAGACAAGTAGAAAGACAGCCCACATCCAGAAAGAGGCAAAGGCCCCTGAGTAGAAGAACAAGCTGCCACAAAGGGTTAATGAACCTCTTAGGAAAACCAAGCATAGTGTTGACACTCAGATGGGGCCCAGAGAAGGATCCAACCCCACAGGAGGCTAGCGTACTATGAGGGTAGATAGAATTCTACAGGTGGGTCTACTGCCCTCTGTCTTCATGTGATTTTTTTTAAAATCACATGAAGAGTACATGGCTATGGTATAATAGTACCACTCTGGCTTGGGTCCCAACTCAAGTATATTCTAAGCCATCTGACCTTAAGCAAGTTAATCACTCAGCCTATGTCAATTACAAAATTGGGATACTGGTTATGTTGATGGTACGATGGAGATAAATGAAATAATGGGTAGCACAAGCTCCAATGCAGGGCTTGACAAGCTACAGCCCACAGGCCAAATCCAGTAAGCATGTTAGAACAGGGCCACGACATGCACTTACTATGGCTACTGTCGCCTGCACACACTGCAATGCGTGCCGACTGGCCCTTTACCTCTCAGGGGGCTCTTGCAAGTGGCCCTGTCACCTCACATATCTCAGGGGTCACAATTGCTTACCTCACACAGGACTTTCATCAATAAATATTGAAGGCCTTAGTTGCCAGATTCAAACTTGTTACATCCTAAAGTTTTCCTCCTTAACTTCAATGCAGGTTTTCTTGGAAGCTTCAAGCTTTGGACAACTGAGAGGCAGATCTCCCTGCACTGTTACTTTTATTCCGGCTTTCTCTGGTTTTCCCCTAGACCATAAGTATGATATGTACATGTCATATGTTAACATGTACATGTGAACAGGACCTGGCAGAGTGCCTGGCACATGAGAATTATTCAATAGCAAAAACAAGTTCTATGTAAATTTAGCAAAAATGTGAGGGTGATATTGATGACCGGAGCCCCAGTGAAGCAGGGAAGGCTACTGACCCCCTTTGTTTTGCCTTCTCCCCGAGATAATTTCCTTGTGTGCACAACATTACTACAACCTGCTCCCACAGATGTATCTAATGTACAACTATAACATATTACTGCAACCTAATACCGCAAGATACATTATTACTACAGCATACTACCTCAAGACGATCTGGTCTTGGGCCCAGAACCACCTGCCGTAACATCTTAAAGCAATAAATTGCCATCTCTCCCCACCCCTGCACTGAGTAAGACCAAATATTACCCCAGAAAGCCAAAGACGATCATCAGAGAAACCCAAGAAGCTCACCAACATTTAGAAAGTAAGACAAAATCCTGGCGTCCACCTAAACTGGCTGAATAAGAAGGCAGTTTATTTCTGTTCCAGTTTCTACATCTTTCACGTTCCAAAGGAGACAGGAGAATTGGGTTTTGAGGCCTCAACCTTACAGATGAGCTCTGGCCTTGCTGGCATATGGTTTGTGAAGATTGCATTTATGATCCCTTAGGAGAGGCAAGCTGTGCTTAGCAGAACTTCTTCAGTTTAATGGCAACGGATTGGAGTAAGAGATGATCTGGCACCTTTATGTAAGTTACACAAAGTTCAAGTTCAATACGCAAGGGATTACAAACAGCTGTAGGAATTATTAGACCCCCAAATTGCCCCAACACTCCATGATATCTAGGGTAATCTTCTAGGAGAAGCTCAAGGATGTTGTCCTTTAAAAACTTCCAAATACATGTGTGCTATTCTAGGCCTATGTTATGATTTTGTTCTTCTTCATGTTTATAATTCCTGGGCTTCATATTGGTATGCCCTGGGCTTGTTTCTAGAAAAATGTGCATCTTATTGCCAACTAATGAAGCTAGAAGCGTGAGCTGATGGTAACCTGGCGGTTGTCTCCCTTGGCTCAGCCTGCACGTGGCCCAGTTTAGAGGGTTTATCAAACCAAGTAGGCTCTTTTCACATCCAGAAAGTATTTCAACCTGTCCCAAACCCAAAACCCAACTATGAATTTCGCTAGCAAATATCTAAAACAGGAAAAAAGGGGAAACTACCTATTTCCTCCTGACTCACTTGGTTCTCCTTCTACTCACCACACGCTACCTGTCTTAGTACATGGAACAAATAGGCTAAGTTGCTAAGCTCACCCAAGGTCACTCTTTGACTAAACAAGAACACTCAAGAACACCATTTGGCAGAGAGAAAGGAGAGAAATTTTATTTAGAGACCCTGGGGTAGAGTGGAAAAATCAACAATGATTATGGTGGTCTTGGGCCGGTACCAGAAGCTTGTCATTGTGTTGTCTGTGGGAAAAAACATGACGTGGACAAACTCGGATTCAAACAGCTTCTTCAACCAAAACGAGGACATATCCTGCTGACTAAAGAGGCAAATGAGAAAATTTAAGATATACATTCTGAAAACCCGTGTGTTTTTCATACAAGGACCTTCCCAACTCAGTTTCCCAGAGATTCTATCAGAGGCGGGGTTTCCAAGAGTTTGAGAATCCCACCTTCCAGGAGGCAGGTGCAGGGATTGACGCCTGTCTCTCCACCGAGTGGGCAAGCTCTGGGGGAGACTCTGCAGCAAGAGGAAGCAGGCGGCGAGCACAGAAAGCCTGGCTCAGCACCACGGGGACCGGACCGTGGGGAAGTAGGGAAAGAGTCTGGTGGGGATTTGGGGGGATGGAGTAGGAAGGGTGGCTAGAGAAGAATTGGGGCAAGTCTTTTGAAAGTGAATGGAAAGCTTTGCTTTTGACAAAGGCATGACATTTGGGAAAATTGATCACACTAGGATGACAATCCCTCAGTTCTGAGCATCCCCATTGGAGTCAGAGAATGCCACCAATACCTTGTCTTCTTTTTCCTTTTCTGACATAACTTCCTTGTTTTTTGTCTCTGTGGGGAATCCTTCAGACAACATGCTGAACACCTACATCTACAGACTTTCACCATCTTCTTATGTTCCCCAGCTCTGGTCAGCAGTGGGGTTCTGCTCAAAACAGCAGCCTCTGTCTGCAACCCCCTCTCGTCCCCCTCCCCCACCCCAAGTCCATTTGTCCAAAGCAGTCCACCCATCACTTCCTTTATATGAGTGGCTGTGACATGGTCCCTCCTGGTAAAAGGACCTGATGATTGATGGTGTCTTGTCACAATGGCCGCAGCTCAAGAGGAGAGCTTGGTTAGGTGGTTGGGGGAATACTGAGATATTGGATAAGATCAAGAAAGAACCCCCAAGAATGATACAAACCAAGTAAAATTCTCTTTGCCTTTCAAACACAAGTCCAGCCTTTTTGAAGCCTTTGTCTGCTGGTACATTTAAACATGCATTCTTGGTTCCACTATCTTATTTCTAGAAAGAGCTCTTGAATAAGGATGTGTACAATGTGAAACTTCTTAAATCAATTTATTCAAGTACAACTGGCATACAATAAACTGCACATATTTTTAGTGTACAATTTGATATTTTGACATAAACATACACCCATGAGCCAACCCATCACTACAAAGCAAGATAATAAGTAGTATATCCACCATCCCCAAAGTTTCTTGTGCCCCCTTTGTAATCTCTCCCTCCTATCACTCTCTAAGCCCTAGTCTAACCCCCCAAAAATGTGGAATATAAAGCTCTAGTCCCACTCATTTTTTAAATTCACTACCCCTGCCCCAATCCCCAGAACCCCACGAGGATACTACTTCAACCTCAGGAAGTTTGATGTTTGGAAAGAGAAGATATGCATACAAATAAAAAATTCTGGCCATAATCTTATAAATGATATAAAAATGTGTCCAAAAGATGCCTTATGGGAGTTCATGGAAAGAAGTAACCATAGAGTTTATGCCTTTTGTTTGAGTTTGAAGGACTATAATTGGTGAAATAGTACAAATCGCTGAGTTTCCCATGAACATCTGTTCTTGTTCTACTTTTTAAATAGCCCAACTTGGCTAGAACAGCAGAAGCTGTCTGAGGGGGAGAATACAAGACATGGCTAGAAAATGAGGCTGGGATTAGGGGGTGGGTACGCAAACTGAAATGTTGCGGTAAAAATGTCTATGTCTTATAGACAGTAAGGAGTTTCCCAGACTTTTTGAACAGAAGAGTGACATGATTCACTTTGCTTTAGGAAGTTTCACTGGGCTGCAGTTTGCATGGAAAAAGAGACACAAGCTGACACTGCAATAATGTAATCCAAAGGTAACAAGGACGGATTGGGGCTGCCACCCTGGATCATGGAAACATGGGCCTCATGAACGGAGACCCTACAAAGACCAGAAGGGAGAGGCAAGAGTCCAAGGAGGCATCTTAGCCTCAAGCCTAAGTAACGTGGTTGTTGGGTGTTGCCAACCAGAAAGGTCAGGTTGGAGGACAGTCGCAAGAGACAAGTCGTCCTCTCTCTTCCTTTAAAGCCTGGTTCAACACTCTTCCTGAACAAAGGCTATAATGACTCAACCCCGTTCAAGAAGACCAACCTCATGTAGAGGCAGGGGAGGTGATAATCCAAGCACCTCCTCCAGCCCCTCTAATATCCTGCCTCTTGCAGACACTAAAAGGCAAAGAATTCTATAGTTCTCCTGCCATTTTTTTTTAAATAAACCTAAGATTTTAATCTGGGGGAGTGCAACAAAGGCAGAAAAGAGGAGAAAGAGAGAGGAATAAAGAGAAGGAGGTGGAGTAGTATTTGAGCTGTGTGTGTACATATCTGTAAAGCTGAACTTGATTTATTCTATCCCCTCTTCTCATCAAAAGTGACTGACAATCAGTTTGTGTCCACACAAAAAGCACTCAGACATTTAAGCTAAAGGATTGGAGTCTATGATCATAATATTATGTCCTAGAGATGGTTTGGTAGAGCAACCAATTTATTCATCCAAATGTGTGCTGAGGATCTGCAGGATCTCCCTAACCTCACCTCTGCCCCTTTGTGTTTTCGAGATCTTTCCTAGGCATTCAGAGGGGCATGGATCTGTGTGGAGAGAGTGAGGGAGATGCTTCCATGGGATCCCAAATTCTGATTAAGAAGAAGCCACTAGCAAGATACACATCGATGTCCACCACCACCACTAGGAGCCTGAATACACCCTCACTTCATGAACACCATACCCTTATAGAAGAACTTTGTTTTGATCAACAATAGGGATCCCCTTCTCAATCAGCACTGATTTATTGAGAATCTATTGCATGCCTGTCTTTAAGTATTTAAAAAGAAATGTAAAATATGAAATAAACAATCTTATATGAGAAATTATTCCAATTTCTTATGCATGAAGACCCCAGTTTCTCTGTTTACCAGCTGTGGGACCTTGGGCAAATTACTTAATCACCCTGATCCTGGAACATAGCAATGACAGTACTCATCTCATAGGGCTGGTGTGAAGATTAAATGGGTTAATACCCCTAGAATACTTGCCATACTTCAGGCCCTGGCTCAGGCATGAGTGATTATTATCTTGCCTCTGTTCTCCCAGAGTGTAAGGTCCCCAAAGGAAGGCAGAAAGGGGAGATAACAAGACAAATCAAACTGGGATGTCATTCCAAACTGCAGACTTCACTATGGCTGAAAGAGGAGAGTAACATCAGATGGGGTGATGGACAAGAGGGTAAGGTGAGGCAAGAAAACCAAGAAGTCCTATCATTTTTTTCCTTATAGGAGAGCAATAGTGGTTGAATAAATGCCCTACTTCTAAGAAGCTTGGCTATGAAGGGAGGGGAAGGGTGGTTGCTAGGGAGATTATCTTTCCCTGCTCACAAACACCCTCCACCCTCCACTACCTCACCCGCCACCTCTTCCTATGCACTGCACTCCTGCCCACATCCCCGACTGTGTCTCTGCAGGAACCTGAGTGTCTAGTGTTCTATAGGAACCAAGTAAAGTGAGGCCTGAAAAATTAGATGAGGTCCCCTAATTGCCCACACAGTGCCTGGTCCCCAATAAGTGCTATGACTACCCCACGCCTGGCAGCTTCCAGCCTTGAACTGCTTCCCATTACCTTTCAAGGCCATTCTCTCTTGAGCCATCTTTTGCTCTCTCAATCATCTTCCCTGGCTCTGTCCTCTGGAAAACTCTAAGGCTGTGGGCTACCATAGCTTTGTCTCTAGAGCATCCATGCCCATAGATTTGACCACACAAAACTACCTTGCCAATGCCCAAGTCTACATCACCAGCCTCAGTCGCTCTTCTGAGCCATAGATACCTCCCTCCAGTTTGTCTAGGGAGCATCAGGTGGACATTGGATCTGTCCGGTGGACATCTCCACCTGTGCAAAACTAAAACCAGTCCTTTCTGTCCCAATGTGTTTCCTGCTCCTAAATTCACTCAGCAGTCATTCACTTAGGGTGTAAGTCTAGGATTCAAACTTTCCCTTCACATCCCTCCATCTCTCATCAGTCACCTTAATGTTTTATAATCTACCCCTCCTTCTCCATCCTCATGGTTGACTTGGGTGAGTTTCTGTTGGACTTTAATATTCAGGTATTTTGTTGATAGCTCCCTTCGTGGTGAACATCAAGTAAAAGGAATCACTCTCTAGGTGATTAACCACCTCCCTCTGCCTGCCCACCATGGCAGCAAACACATCAGGGGGTATATCACGCACAGTATACACACTAACACTACATAGTTGTGGATTTAAATCCAGCTCTGCTGCTCAGTGCTTGTATGCCCTTGAGCAATTTCCTGAAGCACTGAGCCTATAAAGAAGTGATCTCCACCTTAGTTTCCTCATTAGTAAGGTAATAGGACTGCCATTGAATCTGAGCTTTCCTCCCTTTCACTAACAGGATATTTTTAAGACCAGGAGAAATGAAATGATTTGCCCACGTTTAGTAAGTTGGGAAGCTTAGATCCCCAAAACCTAATTGTTGGAGGAAACCATCCAGGTGCTCTGGTCCATGCTTCTCTTGGAAATTTGATCACTGACCTCACATGGACTTTGTGACATGTCAGAGTGGGGAAAGCCAAGTCACAGAGGGCTAGTTTCTTCACAGGTGGCCCTTATCGTCTCAGGGCTGGGAATACCACCTGCAGGTAAATGACCAGAAAGCCCGTGTCAGGCTCCTAACACCACTCAGGACTGAGTGTGAATGCCGCGTGTGTGTGTCCAGTCACACAGGATGCAGCAGAGCTGCCCGTGCCCCAGGATGCGGCGGTTTCCCCGCAGGAGCATGGAAGAGAGCGCCCCGAAGGGCAGCAGGGAGGAGAGGAAGCAGGCGGCCGAGTGGAGACAGTGGTGCTAGCTCCGGCATGAGAAGGGACTGGGGGTGCCATGGAGCCAGTGCTCAGGCACAGGACACAGCCGCAGGAAGAAGCAGGCCACTCGCAAGTGTCCATCAACTCCCCATCACGAAGAGGACATTGGACCCGCTCTCCGGGACTGTAAAGATAAATGAGGTAGGGATTTTCCAGTCTCTTACCTGTGTGTTTACTGTAAGAAGTGCCTTAAGTGAGGAGGGAGAGGCAGGGCAGGCTTCACAGGCAGGGGACCTGTATGTCACAAACAGCTCTGTGCTCACTTACCTGGCCACGCTGACCCCAGGTTTGTGCTCTTCTGTCACTGTCTTGAGATTCTTAATAATGTTTTAGCAGGGGGCCAGAGTGTTCATTTTGCAGTGGGCCTCTCAGATAATGTAGCTGGTTCTAGAAGACATGGCTTCTTTACCTGGAGAGGATGTCACAGGAAGTAGCAAGTGAACTACGCCAAGTCACAGATCTGAAGGGAAAACCCGGAAAATGTCAAGTTGGCCTTGTGTGCCCACCCAAAGAACCTCCTGAGACTCTCCCACTCTAACCAGGGACGTTTTTAACCTCAGTTTTGTCTTTGCTTCCTTGCAGTGTTAAGAAAGTGCTATTATCACTATCGTAGGACAGTAGTCTACTGAGAGAACAAATATCTCTGCATGCTGACATGGTCCTTACCAGAATCCCAGGAACATCTCTGTGGCATCACCTCCCACATTTCCTCCCAGAAAATATAAGGCCTCCCAGTGTCAGGAATTTCTTGACCAATAAAATCTGATCGCTGAACACTCAAAAGCATCTGGGTCTTTCTTGAGTTCTTGCTAAAAATGGAAGCTTTGCTTTGAGGATTTCTCTAGACCAGTCCTAGCTGCTCCCCCAGCACGGGGGTGTGAGAAGGGTGAAGTGTCATAAGCCTCTGTGCTTTGGATCACAATTTCGACACTGTAAAGAACAGTGAAGAAGTTACTTTGTTCTTTTGCTTTCGTATAAATACAACTAAACATACTTTTTGAGGTCTCCAAATATGAGACTTCTGCCCAAAGAGCACTAGGGAAGCCATGTCGGCCATGGCACTGTCAGCAAAGCCTTCGCTTTTGGCCCCATCTTTCCAGGGTCTCAGGACACAAAGAACAACTATGCTTTCAACCTGTCTCTTCTTCCTCACCCTCCACTGATCACCGCTAAGACTAGGAGACAGAGGCTCAGCAAGCCAGGTCAGCGATGTGACAGTCTCTCTTGACCAGCCTTGGCCAGTCGCTCTCTTCTGTTCAGTGCTCTCTGCCAGCATGATGGTCACAGCGCTTTGAAACCATCAATTGTGGAGGCATTGACCTTCGTGTGCACCAACCTCAGTCTTTCTCTCTGGTCCTTTGTCCCTCTTGGTGGCAGCTCTTTCCCCTTTCAAAAGGCCCCGGCATCCTCAAGCTCCGTGAACTTACCGTGGGATGATTTCAAAAGGGCAAGGGCCTGGCACGTGGCTAATGGAACACGGAGGGAGAAAAGCAGAGAAAATGCACAGGGGGGAAAAGAGACCTGAAATTTCAGCACTTTGTGGCACAGTGGCAAGAAGCCCAGACTGGGAATTGGGAGATCAGGGCTTGAGATCTGGTTCTGCCTAGAGGTTGTGACTCTGGCCAAGTCACTTCATCCTCGGCCCTAGCTATTGTGAAATTGTTCTCTAGCAACCCTCCAACTCAAAGCTCCTTACTCCAGTTGGTAGATGGATTAAAAGACATTGTTCCTAAAGACCATATCAGGCCAAACAATTTAATACGAGATATTTTAATACCATAACAGCCCTTTCTAACATCCTAAGGTGCAGCCCTACTTTTATCTTATCTCTGAAGGCAGCTGTATTCCCAGTGTATTTGGAAGGGGACACTTTCTCTGTCACTGTTGTGGGTGGGGATTAAAGTTAGTGAAGACAGGGAAGTGGTTACTAGGAAAGCATAAAATTTGGATTTTCTTTGTGCAGAGCCTTATTGTTAGTGATAACATATGAAGACAAAAGGAATAGAAACAGTCAAATAATTTTTCAGACATCCAAAAATAACTAAAAGCAAATGATCGTTTGACTTATCTCAAAATGAGGACTTAACATGTGTCCAGGGGACCTCCTCAAACAACTGACTCCCTTCTCCAAGTTCTCCCTCTCCCTCCCACAGGAGAGCCCTTCTCTGTGCAAACAGAGTGGACAGTCGAGGCCAGATTTTTCTCTAAGCCAAGTAGGGAAGGCACTGTGGTGTAGTGAGCCGTGCTTGGCTGGGGACCAGCAGTCTGTGTCCATTCCAGGCTCTTCCACAGCCTGGGGAAGCCCCTTAGAAAGGCCTCTCAGCCCCCAAAGGAGCAGGCAGGTGGCCCCTGGGGAGTCCCCCGTGACCATCACTTCTCTGATGAGTCCCCCACCTTTAAGCATCCCAAATGCTTTGCTCCTGAAGACACAGGAACTGTGTGGGAAAATTGGGAATGCCGTAGTCCCAGAACTGGGTGGGAAAAGGTGAGTGGGGTTGAGGCCCTTTCTCCCCTCTGCTTTGAAAACTACCCTTTGGCATTGGTCTCTGGGCGATTTTTATTCCCTAATGAAGACACAGGATGTGTGCTGAGCTCGGAGAGCTCTGTCCCTGGTGGGGCCCCTCTCCCAGCAGCTCCAACGGCATCCAGGCTGCCCTGAGCCCCCGGGCCTGTTGGAATGACAGCAGCAGCACAGTAGAGAAGACGAGTATGTGTGTCAGCAGGGTAGAGGGTGCCCCTTCCCCACAGGGGTCAATATCTGGAGAGACTCAGATTGCAGAGAGGGATTCGGACTGAGTCACTGTCATGCGTTAGGACTGTCAGTATCTTTCCGTGTTGCCTCCGAATAAGCCCCAAGCCTCAGCCTGCTGGGAAGATGCAGCCCTGTGCGTACGTCCGTCGGACTCCCCAGGTAAATTAATAGAGTCTGAATTGGAGACGCGAGATGGGCTCCAACTAGAAGTCTGACTTCCAAAACACTAAGACCCTAAGCCTGCCCTTCCTAATCCAGAAATGGGGCTGTGAGAGCCCTGGCCTCCAAGCCCTTCCCTGTGCTGCTGCTTGGGCTACGCTTCTAGGAGGTACAGACACCATTCTGTCCATCCACCTGCCTCCAGGCAAGACAACACTCAGCCCCAGGAAGAAGGAGCCTGAGAGCTCCTCTTCTCAGAAGGCCAGGAATGCAGTTCTCTCTCCATGTGCCATTTCCTTTCATCAAGAGAAACAAAAGCTGAGTCCCACCTGGAAGCTGAGGAATAAAGGGAACAGGTCTGTTGGGCTGTCCCTGCTGCTGCCATGCCGAGCTATATGAAGGAGCTCATGTGCCCTCTTGGTGCAAGACAGTAGAGAAAAGGCAGGACACAGGTGGCCAGCAGACTGGGTTAGCAGATGGTTCTCAAGGAAAGGCCCCACTGTGGGCCCTCTGAGCACAGAAGTGAGCTCGTTGCGCCTACCTAAAGTGCCGTTGGTTCAGGCCACACTAGGGCAGAAGTGGGAAGAGAAACAGAGACAGGCAGCATGGCCAGTGCTCTGGCCTGCTCCATCCTCGCTCCAGGAGGTCTGACGCAGGCGCCAACCCACACACCCCTGCAGCCCCACCTTGGACTGGCCTGTGCCTCGCCTCCCTCCACCCCACCCCCCGCCACCACCACTGCTTTTCTGCCGCCAGAGTTGCTCAGCTTGGGTGTCTGGAACCACAGCTGCTCCTCAGCCCTACGCAAGGGGGACGTTTTTGTTTGTTTGTTTCTTCATCAGTTCTCAAGTCTGGCTGCTTCTTCCCTGTGATCTCAGCTTCTCCTTGGCAGAGCAGGTCTTCTGGGGGTGGAAGGGATGAGGGAGAGAAATAGCATCCAGTCTTCAGGGCTGACCAGAAAATGCCTCTCACACCAAAGAGGCCAGTTCCTCTGCAAAGGTTTTAGCAGCAGAGTCAGGCGTGGGAGGTGAGCACAGAGCGCCAGGGGACCTGCTCTGAAGACAATGTCCATTTCTCCTTTCCCTGCCTAGAAATGCCCCCACTGGTACCAAGTTGCTCCGATAGCATCAGACTATCTGTCCTCATAATATACCAAAGCAGCTAGACTGAACAAATATGCACTGATCACCTGCTGTAGACTATGCTAGTGGCTGGGGAAAATGCAGTAGCAATAAAAGATAGAGTCCCTAACTGCAAGGAGACTACTGCCAAAGTCAGATAATCTCAAAGAACACCTAGCCCAACCTGCTTATTTACGAAATAAGGGGGCTAGAGTCCAGAGAAGTCTCAAGAGAACCAGAGCCCTGAGACACCACTTCCTGTTGAGACCAGCCTAACACACACAATACACAGGCACAAAACAGGGGTCCACACAGTTAGGGTTGGTTGTCTAGGCATTAAGTCCAATGGTACAGTAACCATGGGCTTTGACAAAATTTTAAAGGACAATGAAAATTCCATAAGTTGGAGAAATCTTCTTTGGAGATGTGGAACCAAATGGGGAGGAATGAGTTAGAAAAATAAGAGGACTTTTTATTTATTGAGCAAATGTATTCCACAAATATGTATTGAGCTCCTACTCTGCAGAGGACTGTTTAACACTGAGGGAATACACGGGGCTAGGCAAGTTCTCAATTCCTGTGTTCACAGATGTCCCTGCTTTCCCAGGGCTTGGTCACAAGGAGAACGGCTGGGCTGGAGAGGCCTGAGAAGGTCCAGAGACACGAAGAGGCATGCCAGCAGCCTGCTCCACACAGCTCTCCCTCCTTGTCTGAATGAAAGTCACCAATAGAAGGTCTCCAGAGAGACCTGCCTGGAAACATTGTCATCTATGGTGGCTATTGAAGGAATCTGGGTTTCAAAACATGATTTGTCATCTTATCTGTAGACATCAGAAATACAGGAAGTGGGGCTTGAACAACATTCTCTCTCCTCGTCAACCAGCTTTTGCTAACAACCTCCTGCAGGCAAGGAGGTTGAATGAGGCTCAGTTCTTGAATGAGGATAATGGCAGTGGAGAGAGGAGGAGGGACAAATGGAGGAGCAGCTGTCAAATTCTACCAAAATTTGTTTCAAAGCATCCAACATGAGGTATAAAGGAGGAAGGGAAGGTTAGATGACAAGACCCCCAGATGAACACTCAACAACTATTCAGTTCCTCTATTTGGAAACCTCAAAGGCACTTCAGACCATATGTCATAGACTAAATGCATGGTCACCACACTCCCCATCCTGATCTTTGTCCCCATGAGTGGTACCAGCATCCAGATAGCTGCATTACACAGAAAAGCAAAAGCCACACCCTTGACACCATCTGCTCTGTCCTTCCAGATCAATCCATCCCAAATCATGGTTTCTATCTTCTATACATCTCAACTGACACCCTCCCCAGCCCAGGTCTAGGCCATTATCAAATGTTCCTCTCTACTGGGCTGCTGCTACTGACAGCAGCACCTTCCTTTCCTCACACATCCCTCCCAATCAAGCCATTGCCCACCCGGAACCCTCTAATCTCATCATGCCGTCCCCTTAACATTTTTAAGGCTTCCCAATGTATTTGAGCATGGTTTGGTCTCTGCCTATCTCTCCAACCTCATCCTATACCCTCTGCCCCACTCCAGCCACTGATTGGTGCAGACACCTGATGCCTTTTTCCCCACTTGGCAGAAAGCCCCATGAGCACAGTATCTACATCTGTTTTTATCCACCACTACTTCCCCACCACCTAGTCCATGGTGCAAACTATGTGATCTATATCTGTGACTACATTTTTAAAAATGACTAGTTCAGTGATTCTTAACCAGTGTGACTT